GCTGCATCCAAGAGGTTCATCGTTTTTCAGCTGATTCCTTTACGTGTCGTTCTGCTAAAGTCGAACGAACTTAATAAAGTTATTTTGAAGATGTTTATTTCTCAGGTGATATAGTAGATCTGCCCTCATATGTTGGAACATTATATGTAATCGCGTCCCAGTTATAGTGAACTATGTAACTCTTATATATAGTTATAAGAACTTCTATAGGCGTGCCAGTTCTTTCACTTTCACATTGTGGTTTGCGTATTACACGATACCGGTTTCTTTTGCTTAGATATGATGCGTTCTTTAGACGCGGTAGGTACTTGATTTTGTCCAGAGCATTGTCGTCGCTTTGACTGGTTTGCGTTCGACCGATGGTGGTTGTTGGCGATCTTTTCAACTAGTAGCAGAGTGCCCAGTCACAGGCCGGCGAATTAAGGGTGTCTTTGAAGTCACTCGGATGCATTCTCTAAGTGTGCAGTCGGGTGCCGTAAAGTTCACAGCCTTATTCAGGACATCAACTGTTTCAAGCTTGTCAATGACCTGTTCTTTGCTACTGCGAGTCCTCTCAGCCGGTTGAAAGTATATCCAAGGTTGGTTAGTGTAAGGACAGTTTTAACTGTAAATGCAAGACTGCCTAGATCATGACTGGGCAGATGCAAGAAAACACTGCTTTACAAACACTGACATTCTGCATCATTCTTTCAGTAAATGATGACATACCAAAACTGCGCATTCGACTCATCTAGCAATGCATCGGACATAACACTCGAGGTTGCTGAAAATGATTACCTGCAGGGACACGCTCGGCAATGCATAGGTAAATGTACAGAAATAGATGTAAATAAATATAAAAGATATAAATATGGCAATGCCTGGATCCCTTTGAAACTTCTTCTTGAATCATATTTTGCGGCACTTAGGGACTAGTGTTTTAAATGCAACAAGTTGAGAGCTATGTAATGACTTGTTACATTGGCTGAATAGAAACTGAAGTAAAGCCACGACTGCATGCTACATAGAAGGATATTCATTCCGTGAAAATTATTCATCCTAGTGATTCACAGAATTGCTGTACCCGCTAAATCGGGAGGTAATATCTATGAAATCTGCACTTTCAGCCACTTTTTGCGGTTATCCTAATTGAAGAAAATGTGCAAAAACTGTGGTTATGCAAAAAATAAATCGTCGCGTCGCCGAAAGAAGTGCTGGTTTTTAGTCGGTTGTCTCTACCGAACGCGTACTTCGGTCCTCAGCTTCTTTTTCTGATAATTCGAAACTCGGCCATCAATAAACAAACTGTCAGTTTCTACCAACCGGAGGTACTGTTTCGTTGTGGCGAGGACACGACATCAGAAAGTAAAAGTCTGATCATAGAAATTGAGACCTTTAATGAGCTTCCAGCGAAAAGGCAAAAACGCTGCTGTTTGAATAGTCTGTTCATGTTTTGTTTGCCATTTGTAGGACTCAGATTTCAGCATTCATTTAATTAGCTTAGCGGACAAGCACATCACATCGTAAAAATGAAACAACAATAAATAAGTTTTTGTCAATCAATTTTAGTAATCGTGTAGGCTGTAGATAAAACTAATGAGGTATGATTTTTCAGTGACTCATAACATAAGGATCAGTGAATAGGTTATTCTGAACAATGCAATAAATCTAACAAGGGTCGTCAATATATGCTTAATGTTCGTAAGAGATTGGCTTTGACGGTTATAATTAATTAGTAGGCAGCAACAATTAGAGTACTGATAATCGATAAAACAGTTTGCGAGCGTACGTAGGCCGTAACTTTCTCGTAATATCAGCACGTGGGAAGCACGGAGGCGAAAACTGCATAATTACCATAGCTGACAGTGTCACTTTCGAAGAAAAACAATATGTAGATCTTGGCATTAGCGCCTGCAGCAAGCTCAGTAGCCGAAGGATTTTGAAGTCGTGAAAATCTGCGGGATTAACAGCATCTCAGTGGTTATAATTTATTTTTTGTTTCTCATAGAAAACCATATTTGCAAAGTAATAAATACCAGATATTAATAAAACGCTGAGCTAGTTGACTAGGCCGCAAGCCAAGAGAGAATTAGTTGAACGCTCGACAACGAGCAGTCAATGCCCTAGAATTTTGAACCTCTGCGGGTGAAAACTATTCTACCTAAGTGTCGACTCCACCACTCGAATTCAGGCTGGTGTTGGTGTTCCGATAGAACCCAACCTGACTGGCAAAATCGACGTCCGTCGGGGAAATGTGTCACTCTGAAATTACAACAGGCTCAAGCTTTAACATCGTCACAGATCCGTCCGCAAAATTCAGAGGGAAAATATGAGTCCTTTCTCGAGAAAATAGAAGGTGCAATATACGAAGTGCCGACGGGTGAATTCAATGCGCCTTTCGGGACAGAAATTGAAGAGTGGAAAGGCCTCATTAAAAATAGTGCCCCTGCGACGTCAGCAATAATGCTATGAAGTTGTTGCGGCTTTGTGCAAACAACGGACTGTCTGTTGTGAACATCGTCTCCAATCATCCAAACGTACATCAGTGTTATCCGATATAAGGAAGATTCTGCACAGAAGTAGATGATCAGTTTGACAATCGTATTACCTGGCGCAGAACTGTTAGCTGATCAATCATCGCTTGTAGTTGGCAACCTTCGCTATAAGCGGAAGTCCTGACGGCAGCAGCAGCCAAAGAGTCGAATAAGTACTATTCTCTTCTGTGGATACACATGGGAAACTTGCAAGCAACAATGCACGACGGGTTTGATATATCCCAGTGATGACGGTTAACGTGAAAATCTAGTGGAAACTTGTTAAGAGCGGTTTACTCGAGGCTGCTGCTAAATTCTGCGGTTTAAAACCGGTTGATCTGTCGCATAAAAGCCAGAAACGAACTTCCGGATGGACAGGAAAGGTTCAACGGTCCGTCACCCGAATGCAGTGTGAGAGAGCGTGCAGGACGCCAGCGAAAGCATTGCCCCAAGCAGCAGCTGATTCCTGGGAAACGTTCGGTGAAGTACTGGAGAAACACTTCTTGCAGTGAGCAAGGTATGGTGGTAGACCATCTGCCACCTCAGACATGGAAAGAACGGAAAGACATAGTCTGGGCGCCCTCCTGTCGATGATGAGAACACTTTGGCGATAGAGAAAGTACTTCGATAAATTTCTTAAGCCGAGCAACTGCAGGAAAATTCCTGAAGCCTGAAAAGCAGAAGGGGATGAATATTTGCTTTTTAGAGTATGTCAGTGAAGGTGTAAAAAGCTGGAAAAGTGGCAGGACCGCTGTAATCCATCAAATCTGTC